TCTGAAACTCTATCCCATTAGACATCACCTGAATGTCCCACAGGGACCTCAAATTCTGTATTTCCCCACAGAAACTGACCCTCTCTAAAATTTGTTCCTCTTCCCATACTGCTGATCTCTGTCAAACCGAAGTTAACCATTCTGAGATTTATCTTCAATTCTTCCTTTTTCCGCCCCTCACCAACATTCAGGCAATACATGAATGCTCTCCATCTCACTCCTAAAGAAGTCTACCATCTCTCCCTCCCCTTCTGCTCTGTCCTCATCACTGAAATTAAGGTTCCCATTAGCTGTTTTCTAGACTTTTATAATCGCTTCCCAACTACCTTCCACATCTCAAGTTCTCCCCGTGCCTCCGTTCAGCCCTCAAGTCATCTTCTACCCATGCAGCTGCCAGAGGATCCTTCTATTTTAGAAGGATCTATGTCAATCCTCTGTTTAAAATCTCTTTTGGTTTCCCTTTACAGATAGGATCAAGTTCAAACCCCTTAGCCCACCACACAGGCCTCTCCAAAGATGTCCCCTTCCTACTTGTTCTGCCTCATCTGCAGCTTCCACTCCATCTCTGCTGACCCCCTCGGCATGTCCTAGATAACCCGTGCCCTGGCACCCATCGGTGCCCTTCCTCCCACAGGCCTCTGCTTCGAGGCCCTTTTCACTCTAGTCTCTCTCCTCCAGAAGCAGCTCAAATGTTTTCTCGCCAAGAAAGTCCTTCCTCAACTCTCCAGAGAACATTAGTTCTTTCTTCTTTGTTTTCCTGGAACATCATGCAAATACCTCTAGAATGTATCTTATTATTTCCTACATATTTATTTACATTTCCTTCCTACTCCTTTCAAGGAAAAAACCTGTATCTTATTTTTTTTTTTTTTTAATCTCCAATGCCTAGCTTTGCGGCAGACAAATAGTGTATATTCAATAAATGTTTGTGGAATGAAAAAAGAAAAGAAGCTAGAAGGCTAACAAGAGATTGGGAAGAAAGATGAGAAGAGTCAAATTAACAATTCATCAAAATAACAGGAACTTTTGGAAATTCAGATTCTAAGGCTCCACCCCAGATCTTCTGAACCCAAACCTTTAGAGGTAGTGTCAGGATCGACCTTTTTTCATAAGTTCCTTGAGTGATTCTTATAGACACTAAAGTTTCAAATCACTGACCAAAAAGAAACTCCAGTTTAAATTCTGGGGAAGTTCTGCTATTTACAAATCTGACTCAAGTTCCAGAACTTTAGTGGAGTTCCATTCTAAGATAATCTAATTACAACCTCAATTATGATCATAGTGATGATAATTACAGAAGAAAGGCCTACAGCGAATGTGGAAACTGAGAAACAACAAAGAGAAACCACAGGCTTCCTGGCCTCCTGCAAAGGCAGTTTTGTACAAAGAAAGGCAGTACGTTAAAAATCAGCAGGTACTGGGCTTAGTCCGAACTCTGATTAGCGAGTGGCTTTATCTCAGATGAGTACTCTCAGTCTCTGAAAAGGGAGGGGGTATATCCGAGGTCTTTTCGGCTCTCATGTTCTGCGAGTGGCTGTCTTGAGGAAGGGACTACTCATCCTGTGTGGGTAACAGTTCAGCATGCTGTGCTTGTCGACTTGCTATATTACTGGGAAATGTCCATCCTTGGCAAAGATGACTATGGTAGGAATGAGCCAAAATAGTGCTGGCGGGGCTACTCTGTTATAATGAGATTATGCCAGAGCCATTTTGGTTTATGAAATTATTATAACAATGCTGATATATTACTGAGAGCGCCAAAGCCTCCCTCTCTCTAAAGAATGCTGAAGGTACTGTGGGCATCTTCTTCGCTGTGACCACAGCCTCATAAAGAAGCAGGAAAAGAGAGTGGCTGTGGACCTGGGAACACTGAGTCCTGGGGTGAGCAAACTCCAGGAACTGGGTGGCAGAGGCAGGGTCCCTTGGCCTTAGTGTGTTACCACTTAGCCCAAGTCTTCCCTTAGGAAAGGGGTGGGGTGGGCGGGGGCTGGGGGGGGCAAGAAAAGAAGAAAGAACGCACGCCTGGCTCTTTCAGCAGACTGGTGGGAGCTGAAAGGAAGGAACTGTAGGCTGGGCCCTGGGTCCAGTCATCCTACTCAGGACCCCATTCCCGTGTGTGACTGGGGAGCGGAGGAGGGGTAAGGCCCGCACCTGCCCAGCCTGGCCCTGCCCTTCCAAGCCACGGGAATGCTGAGCCTGTGCTGGACTTTGACCCACTGAGGAAAAGGCGGGAGACCCATTCAAACCGGCATGCCGATAAACTTATTAGTCATGCCTGCTGTTCCAGCCCCGCTTCCCCCCTACCCTCGGCAGCCAGCCCGCAGCCCCTAGCCTTGCCGCCTTTCAAGTTGGACAACTTTAAAGAAAAAAAAAAATGAAAGAAACGCCACAGACAACATACTTGATGAAGAAGACTCTCCCGCCGCGGTCAACTCCGTAGGTCCATCGGCCTGGCAGGTCCAGCCAGTCAACCTCATCAGCCATCTCCGTGTCCCGCCGCCCCTCTGGCTCTCCAGTCACCGGGGCACTGGACTGGCAGGGGCTTCCCACCCGGGGCCCCTACTTTCTGCTCCTCCTAGAGGCAGTGATGGGGACAGGGGGGCGCGTTGATGCGGGTGCAGCCCCCCGCTGTTGGCGCCCCTCCGGGTCCCTGGCAGTGGCTCTGGCCTCTCCCTGAAGGCAGCTGGCCGCCAGCCGGGTAGCAGGGAGCCGGCAAGATTTAACCCTGGCGGGGCCGAGCGCGCTGAGCGCCGCCCAGCGCGAGCCCCAGCGCCACCTGCCTCCTGCTGGCGCCGACTCCTCTTCGGACGCCTGTGAACTTGGAGACTGGAGATCAGCGCCGTGAGAGTCCGGACACTCTGGCCTGGACCGCTCACGGCAACGCCAGGTTTAGGTCCCTCCTACTCCCAGCGGCGAGCAGCCTGGCAGGCTGAGCAGGGAGCAGGTCGCTGTGTGAGCTAGGGGTGTTGCCTCAGCGCCCTAGCTCGAACCCACACTTGAACCTGCGGCGGGAGCGGAGGCGGAGCCAGGCCACCGCCTCCAAAGGTAATTCACAGCCAGAACGAGCCACATGCAGCCCGCAGGTCCCCAAGTCCGGCGTAGGGAGCTGGAGAACTAGTTTGGCTGAAGGCTGTGAATCACGAACTTCAGGAACATGTTCAGCCACTGAACCGAAAAGGGGAAGTGGTCAAACCTGGTTCCACTCGGCAGGAGGTTAGCAGAGGAACAAAGGTCAGATGTAGGGAAGGGTGGCGGCATGGGTGTGAATAGCAAGTGGCCCTAGGAATCTCTTCTTGCTAAGATGCTAGCCTCATTAGTCAAGTTAGTCCTTATCTTTCTTTCTGAGCACTTCCTCCAAGAAGCCTGCCATGACTAAATAGAATCAGAGGAGACCTTAGAAACACACTCAGAAACCAAAGCTTTTATGTGCCTTCCCCCTAACTTGCACCAGAAAAGGAAAAACACAAAACAAAACAAAACAGAGGAGGGAGTGTGTTCTGTGCATAGAACAGTTTGCAGGCATTCAGCGTTAGCATATCAAAAATGGTGTTGCTGGAGCCCACAATTCTTCAGTCTCTGGGTCTATATTGAAGTTGGGCTAGGGTCAGCTTTCCCAGCTTTCTCAGGGCCTGCCCCTGAGACCCCAGTCAGGTGCACACCGCTCCAGTCCTTGTGTCAGACCCAAGGGAATAGACGGTGGGAGGGACAACTGTCTTTAGAGGGGGAAACGTGTCCCATGGCACTTGGCAAGTATCTGTCGAGTGGCCGCCCTTCTGTGAGCGCTCTAAGATATTTGGTCACTGTTCCACCCAGGTAATTCCTACTCACTCCTTCAGTGTCTGCCCATGTGTCACCCCCTCCAGGAAGGTATTCTTGGCTCCACCCAAGACAGATTTATATGTCCATCATCTACGTGTCAGGTAGTCTGATTAATAACCCTATAGTGGAGCTTATCGTGCTGTAACGCAACCTTTAATTTGCTCATCCTTCTCCTTCACTGGGCTGTGCGCTCCTCAGGGAAAGGTCTCCATCTCACTCATCTTTTCTAGCTCCAGCACCTACCTGAGGCACCCAATTCATGTCTGATAAATGACTGATACTAGCATAACTGAGAACAACCCTGAACTCTAACCAAAATCCTGTACTTTGGGACCTCATTTCGGGGCCTTCTGAATTTAACCATCAGCAAAGCCAGGGTGTGTGGGAAGAGAGCTTTCTGGAAAGAGAAGCAGCCAGTGAGCCTTACAGGTATTCCAAATGTTCAGCCTGGAGCGTATAATGTGTATGCATCTCATAGATAGTGAAGCTAGAAGATGCCTCAGAGAACATCTGGTCCAATCATCTTGTTTAAATGCAGGGAACTGAGGAGCAAAGATGCTGGTTAAGGTCATTGAGCAAGGTGGTGGCAGAGAAGGATCTGCCTACCAGTGTCCCAGGTCATAGCTCTTCCCATTTCATCATTTTGTCTCCAACACCGGAAATTCACTCTGCCAACACATATACATGTTAATTTCTGTGTGCCAGATGCAAGCTGAGTTCATTCTCCAGATGCAGAAGAGCAGAAATCTATAACACCCAACTGCCTTCTCAGATTCTATGGGTTTCTAGTGGAGAAAGCAGATCCACACCTGAGAATCACAGATGAGGATCTACGCCCCCTAGTTCCTGAATTGGGGAGGGTAGAAGGGTCAAGGGATCAGAGTCTTCAGCAGTGCCCAGCCCCCAGTCCTCATTCTTGTGAAACACCTGTAAGACTCATCCAGCTGATAAAGCACAGAACCACTTGCCCAGACCCTGTGATATCTGAGGATCTGAACCCAGAATTGCTGCCCAGATGCCTCCAGGGAAAATACCAGTAACCAGTGTGATCCCTGTCCAACCTGAGCAACCAGTAAGGGCGGCTGCTTGGGCTGATTGTGGGCGGAAATAGGGAACGAAATGACATATATTCAAAAACATGTATTCTACTCGCTGTCTTCTCTGAGGACTAGGGGGCTCCTGTTGATTTCTTCACAAGATCTTTGTCTTGTTTTTCTCAAATATAGCCTGGGGTTCCTAGGAACATTTACCTGGTCAAGAAAAGGTCAGTGGTTGAGATTGTGAATGTTTTTACTCGTTTGAAATAAAAGAAAATTGGGTTGGAAAATAATATTCTGTGGTGTATTCTTGCCAGTGACTTTTTTCATTTGAGTTCTTATTTGTAAAATATTATCCATATTAATACAGTTGACCCTGTATGTGGGGGTTAGAGGCACCGACCCCCCACACAGTTGAAAATCTGTAATCAACTTTCAACTCCCCCAAAACTTAACTCCTAATAGCCTATTATTGACTGAAATCTTACCGATTACATAATCAGTTGATTAACACATATTGCGTATGTTATACACATTATATACTGTATTCTTACAATAATGTAAGCTAGAGAAAAAAATTTCAGTAAGAAAACCATTAAAAAATACATTTACAGTACTATATGTATTTACTGGAAAAGATCCCCATGTAAGTGGGCCTGTGTAGTTCAATCTATGTTGTTCAAGGGCCAACTGTATTGCTAATGAAAATATTTTTTAAAAAGAGCTAAAGAAAATGCAGAAAAGGAGTAAAAAAAATTCAAAAACAGCTAGTGGTTCAACGATTACCTAGAAGAGGGCGGGAGGCTTAATATGTAGAGATGGAAAACTTACATGATTTAATCAAGTCAGAAATGTAGTTGTTTGTTTTTCCCCTATAGCAAATTTTATTTTACCTCTTTAAAAGGCAACAAAGCATCTGGACAAAATAATATATCAGTAATATGTGGAAATGATTCTCATTCTCATACATTTTGAGACCTTAGTCACTTAAATATTATTATGCTTCTGGTTTGGTACCTATGGTAGTATGAAAAATGGCCCCCAAAAGCTGTCCACATCAAACTCTGAAACCTAAATATGTGACCTTATTTGGAAAAAGGTCTTTTTTGCAGATGTAATTAAAATAAAGATCTTAATTAGGAGATTGTTCTCGATTATTTGGGTGGGCCCTAGGTTCAATGATGGTGTCCTTATAAGAGAAAGGCAGAGGGAGATTTGAAACAGACAGAAGAGGAGGAGGCAATATGACCACAGAGGTAGAGATTAGAGTGATGCTGCCACAAGTCAAGGAATGTCGACAGCCACCAGAAACTGGCAGAGGCAAAGAAGGAATTCTCCCCTAGAGCCTCCAGAAGGAGTATGGCCCTGGCAACACCCCCATTTCAGACTTTGGGCCTCTAGAATTGTGAGAGAATAAATTTTTGTTGTTTTAGGCCATCTAGTTTGTAGTAATTTGTTACAGCAGCTATGGAAAATGAATACAGTACATATAAGAAAATCATAATTTAATGAGGACTGAAATAAATGTCTACTATTTTCACTTGTCCAATACCCAATCTCCCCTCTTCTGTTAACAGCCCCCTGAGTTTCCTTTTAACATCCACTCTTCTGCCGCTGTCAGCCCATGCGGGTTGGATAGGCTGGCCCTACCCCCACCCCAGATCCATTGGAGAATGGAAGCTGTGACACAGATGTAGCTAATCTGACTCTTTATTTCCCTGGAAAGAGAGATTGGTTCAGAAAGTCCACATGACTCAGATGAGATCAATGAGATTTAATTTTAAGAAGATCCCAGAATTCTTGGGAAGAAGACTTTTTTCTCTTGGCTTTGATGCTGGCTCATGTCATTGTGGTGCTATTGGAGTCTTCGTGTGGGAAGACCCTACTAAAAGTGAAGCCAGCACAGGAAAAAGTGGAGCAAGAAGATGAAGAAAGGCCTGGTCCCCCTGACATTCCATGAGCCCTAGGACCCAGCTGGCCACAAGAGACTCTACCTCTGGAATTTCAACTTGTAGGAACCAATACACACACTATTTGCTCCAGCCAGTTAGAGCTAGGTCTCTACCCCTAACAATGAAAAAGTCACGCCGTCTTGTGTCCTGTTTCTTTGGCATAACAAATGTTTCTTTGGGAAAGCCAATGCGATAACCACCTGCACTTATAATAAGTTAATAGGAACTCTTCTCTTTCATGGAAACCACAATTTTAGATCAAAAAAGGGTCTTAGTGATCATCTAGTTCAAAGCCTACATTTTCCCCCTAGAGTATACTGGAGAACTCAGGGGAAGTACCCAGAGTTGTGGCAATTCCATGGTGCGGCTGGGACCACAATTCAGGTCTTCTGAAAACTTGATCAGTAGAAAGCTATATTTCAAGACATTTACTTCATCAATTAAATGTATTTAGCCAAGAGACTTACATAATTACAAGAAGATTATAACAGATTCCTCTTCTCTATAAAAGAATAACCACAACAGTAATTTTTATTGAATGCTGGTGTTGAATACTTACGTTCACCTGCAGGCTGTTGCCATTAGTCATTTTCTTACAGGAACTAGGAAGCAAAGGAAGAGAAGGCAAAGGCCACGTCTGCTGGGGATAGGTGTATGAGGGTATAAATATGCAAGAGCCCGGACAAACCAGTTGCTTTAATAAAGTTGTGCTTTTAGAAAAGCTTGAGAAGGTCTTGTTACAAAAACTACTCTACTAGTGCTGGTAACCAGAGGATTGTAGAATCCAGAGGGTTCCCTACGGTCAATTGAACTGAATTATATTTGTTCCACAGATATTTATTGAGTACCTTCTGTGGGCCAGGTACTCTTCTAGGTATAAGGGATCCAGGAATTGATAAAACAGAAAGTCCCTGCTCTCATAGTTTACATTTAGTAAATATATAGTCTCAGAGGATGATGAGTCTGTGGAGTAAAGTTGAAAGAGTAAAAGGGAGAGGAGAGCAGTAGATGCTGTTACATTTTATGTCATATATTTATACAGGGTAGGCAAAAAATGCCTCACTGAGAAGCATGACATTTGAACAAAGACTTGAAGGAAATGAGATAGCAAACCACGTGGACAGTGGAGAAACACATTCCAGGCAGAGGAAGTAATAAGAGCGAAGGCTCTGAGGCAAGAACACAGTGTTTGAGAAACAACAAGGAGGCTAGAGTGGCTGCAGCAGGGTAAATGAGAG